CCTCCACCCCACCCCACTCCATCCCCACCCACTTCCCGCAAAAAAAATATTATTTTTTTTATTGCAATTTCAAATTTCCATTTTTTCGTTTTTCTGCACCACCCACCCCCAACTGCGCCCCCCTCACAATTTTTTTTTTTACTTTTTTTTTTGTAATTTCAAATTCTATTTTTTTCGTTTTTCTGCACCCAAAAAAAACTATTTTTAAATATATTTTTCAGTTTTAGTTTTCTTATTTATGGGTTTAAATGTTCAAAATTTTACAAGTTCCAAAGTTATGAGTTCGGAAGTTTATGTGTTTGGAAGTTTACGGGTTTAGAAACTATAAAGTTTACGGGTTAAAAATTTTGCGGTTTCGAAAGTTTATGAAAAATGTGAGTTCGGAAGGTTGTTGGTTTGAAAGTTAATGGTTTCATGTTTATTATATCTAAATTATTTATGAATACTCTTGAGATGTCATTCACCAATCTAGCCTTCAACCCCTCAACAACTCCATCAGCTTTTTGTTGACTTTATAGACCCACTTGTAGCCCACTATTAATTTCCCTAGAGGAAGAGATTTCCTTAATTTGCGTACCAAAAACCGAAAAATGAATAAGATTACTACTTATTTTTTAAAAAAAATATTTTTTTGGAAAACATTTTCCACGGAAAACATTTTCTACTATACCAAACACACCCTTTTTTCGAACAAAGAGTAAAGTTTTATGGAATAATCATAGTTTATTTACCACTCTTGTATAACTTCCGAGGGCTAAGTTTCACTTTCTCAAACTATAGGACTAAAACTAAACCTTTTAGAAGCTAGAGGAAAAAACTCAGAAAAGTAGCGAAATTGATCCTTCACTTTTCCATTTCTTCATTTTCACCCCCCAAACTAAACATCCAATACCTGTCCCCAGATTCTTCCCATTCCCCCCAAGGCATCAAAAATGTCAACAAATCCAACCATAGATTCTTGTACAGTTGAAACCAGTGATGGGGTCAAACTCCATACCACAATCTTCAAACCAAACCAATATGAAGAACAAGAAAAAAATTCATGGGTTGTGATTTTGGTGCACCCATATTCAATATTAGGGGGTAGTCAAGGTTTATTAAGAGGAATAGCAAATGGGTTGTCAAGAAAAGGGTATAAGGCTGTGACCTTTGATATGAGAGGTGTTGGAAGATCAACTGGGAAACCTTCTATTTTTGGGTTTAAGGAAATTAAGGATGTGGTTGCTGTTTGTAAATGGTCAATTGAAAATCTCTCTGTGAATAAGATTTTGCTGGTGGGTTCTTCTGCAGGTATTCTTTTCTTGCACTTCTGAAGTTTGGATTATTTTAGAGTTATTGTTTTGTACTGGTAAAGTTGCTGACACGTGACCAGGAGTTCACGGGTTCGAGCCGTGGAAACAAGCTCTTGTATAAATTTAGGGTAAGAATGCGTACGATAGACCCTTGTGGTCCGACCCTTCCCCGGACCCGTGCATAGCGGGAGCTTAGTGCACTGCCCTTTTTCTTGTTTTGAATTTTTACTTATGTTAGACATATAATAACAGGTAACTACGAAAATATGAAAATAGAGTTATAACTTGCTATAGAGGTTCTTTGGAATTATGGGGTTTGCCCGGGGGCGGATGTACTGCAGTATCTAGGGTTCAATTGAACCCATAACTTTTGACGTTGAGTAAAAATGTATATGTAAAAATTCATTAGAATCACAAAAATAGTAGATATGAACCCATAACTTTAAAAATATAATGGGGTCAATGCTAAAAACTTTAAAAGTTGAACTCATAGGGTTTAGATCCTGAATCCGCCTATGATTTGCCTCTAAATTGACCTGTTTAATAAATATGTTTGATGTTTTTCAGTGTGTTGTTTGTATTGTTCCAAATAAGACTGGAATAGAGCTAGTTCACTTATTTTTAGATGCATTTCCTGATATAACTTTAAGAGAGTTCCTGAACTTTTTTCTAGTAGATTTAATTGATCCAAATTCTCTAGTTAGTAAGTAGCATATAAACAGGTATATGCGTTGAATTTGTTGGTTTACAAGGATATATAAGTTGCTTCCTAGAAGTTGGATTCATCTAAATTAGCTCTTGAGTTGCATTTGATAGGTAAGTGGTAACTGCTTCTTGGTTTCAGTAGTGGAGGTTTTCATCCTTTGCATAGTGGGGCACAGCGGGAGCTTAGTGCACCGGGCTGCCCTTTAACTTCTCATTTGTCCATGTTTCTTTGCCTATAGAAGGGAGAGCTTTCTTCATTTCAACACATATGTTGCTTGCTGTCAATGGAATTCCTAGAAAGCTTCTTTTGAGGTTCTCACATTGTCACTGTAAACATACTCTCCCTCATTCTCTCTCTAGCAGAAAATGGAATTAATGGAAAAAATCCAAACAAAAATTCGTCCAATTAATGCAGCCGTGACAAAGCAGCCGGTGGCATTAATAACTAAGATGAAAGGAGCTAATCAAGATATTAATGGTTTAATTAGTGTCAACGACATAGTAATAAATAAAATGGTAATTCTGATCAAGATATAAATAGTTTAAATTGGTGTGGACGTCAAATATTAAAACCTTAATATGCATGGATAAAAAGGAGACAAAGAAACGAATGTCCCTGGAGGTTTATTCTTGGCATTCCTTATGTCTAGAAATGCATTTGATGTTGTTAAAATACTTCGCTTAAAAAGGAGACGAAGAAAAGAATGTCCCTGGAGGTTTATTCTTGGCACTCCTGATGTCTAGAAATGCATTTGATGTTGTTAAAATACTTTGCTTAGACTTTGGTTCCACTATGGCTATAGTTAAACTCACACGGTAAAAATACTTACTTCCTTCCAACTCTAGCTGTTGTTGGACGTCTTACACCATATTAGTGGCTGAAATTCTTGATTACTTCAGCAGGATTCTGGTTTAGCTAAAGCAAGTACATTTATGTTATTTCTCCTTAAATAATTTTCCTGTTCTAATTTGTGCCCAAGGAAGGGAAGCCTTGGAACAACGGTTAAATTGTCTCCGTATGACCTATAGGTCAGGGGGTCGAGCCGTGGAATCATCCAGTGATACTTGCATCAGGGTAGGCTGCCTACATCACACCCCCTTGGGGTGCGGCCCTTCCCCGAACTCTGCGTGAACGCGGGATGCTTTGTGCACCGGGTTGCCATTTTTTTTAATTTATGCCCAAGAAGGTTGAGAGCTCCATTGGTATTTATCTAGAAAAAGGTTGAGAGCTCCATGCTGCAGATACATAGCGTCTTTGGCATCCAAGCTTTATGCAAATGCGTATTGCTGCTGCTCGTGTTCCATAATTGTTATTTTCTGTTGCTGCCACTATTATTGCCATAGCTGTTGGATATTTTACACACACACACACTCTCTTTCTCTCTCTCTCCCTTGGCCATGAAGTGTACCTCAAACATTTTAAGTTAAAATTGAGGAGGTGCTACAAGTCGGAGAAGTACACTTTTAATCATGTTCTTTGTGGAAAAAGAAATGTTACCATAACAACCAAGTTGATGATTTATGGGAGTGAGCTTCAAACTAGTTTGACTGTTAGTTTATCTCTGATTCTGTATGCCGCATCATTACTCAACTCCACTGAAATGAATTAATTCTCAAGTGCGTTATGAGTCTAAAAGCACGTGTCTGAACAAGTTGAGTCATAACATTCCCCATGTGGTAAATTCATTTATGACAAGGAATTATTTGTAGAAAGTAGTTCCTTTCAACTAGTGTGATCTGCTCCGTGCCACCAAATATGCATGCATTTATGTCAGAAATTATTTAGTTTTCTTTCCCTATTTCCTTTTGGCGTTGATGGATTACCTTTTTTTTTTGGTTGCTTTGTGATGATTCATACTGTTTCCTCTTTTTTCCTATTCTTCTTGGAAGAAGGGACTTTTCTTAAATTCACTGCTTTCTAATCCTCTCATATCTTTCTCTCTCTGTATCTCCTCATTTTGAACTATGTTCATCGTCTTTTCCGAATAGTGAAATCAAGGTGAGTAACCAACTAACTTTGAACATATCTAGAACAAAAGCTTTGGTCCTTTCTAATATTTTCAGGCCTGTCTTGATGTAGGGCAGTGTAAGAATATGCAGTATGAGATTGAAGTTGTCTTTTTAAGTAATGAAAGAGGAAAAGAAGAATGGAGGATAGAGTAAGACCACTTTTTTACTTTAAGTCAACCCCCCCTTTAGTTTAACTGCTAGGAGTAGGAAGAGTTGAAGAGAGGGAGGAAGAATGGGTTAGAGAGAAAATCTTTTACTTTTGGAAAATCAAGCCGAACTTCCAAATTATATTTCATTTGTTCAAAGGGCTTCAATATGACAAACATAACATTCTTCTCATAAATGTTGTTTGCTCTATTTAAATATTCTCAAATATATATTCTGCGCCATTAGTTTATTCCTTCCTACGCCTTATCAATGGATTGTCTGACATATGTTAGTGCTCATTGCATTGCTTTAGTAAGCAATAACATCACATCGCTCTATCGTATTCTCCAACATACCATGTCAAATGCTATTTGATTATTTGAGCAGATTACCAGGCTACTAATAAATCTGTTCTTTCAAAAAATTTGTTCCTTAGGTTAGCTGTAACATCAGTTTTTATTTGATAAGATAAGATAAAAGGTTAGCTGTAGCAAAGCATTTTTGACTGTGATACAATTCCTTAGAAATTTCGGGACTTTTCGATTTTGCCTGATTAGAAAGAATATTCGGTTAGTTAGGAGGACGGTACGACCATTTGTTTACTTTTCTCTCACTGTTTTATGTTGCATTACCATTTGTTGGAAGGATGGACTCTGAAAATTTACTTGTTGCTTGTCGAAAAGAAACAGAGGAAATAAGATTTGCATGTTTGATGTTCAACTTTCCCTTTATGGCATATTTACCTGATAATGGTGGTGTAACCATTTCCCATCAATTTATCTCATTTTTGATAGACGTTTTTAACAGGTGCACCAATAGCAGGATCTGCAGTAGAACAGGTTGAACAGATTGTAGGTTATGTAAGTATTGGGTACCCTCTTGGTTTGATGGCCTCAATCCTCTTTGGTCGACATCACAAAAACATATTAAAATCTCCCAAACCAAAGCTCTTCATCATGGGCACGCAAGACGGATTCACCAGCATTAAGCAGCTAAACAACAAGCTTAGATGTGCAACAGGACGTGTCGAGAAACATCTTATTGAAGGTATTGGCCACTTTGAGTTGGAAGGGCCTGCCTATGATTCTCACATGGTAAATCTTATTGTAGATTTCATTGACAGTTTATAGGGTTTCCACTATCCACCTGGTGTTGCTTGGGAAGCGTTAGCCGTTTAGGCATTATCATAAAATGGTGCTTTCTGGCTGGTCTTCGATGGCCTTCCGCTGAGCGGATATGTGGATGTACGCTATGATGATCCAGATAAATGGTGTGTTTCTGAACCCATATAGTTGACGAACCATGTTAAATTTACGACACCTGATTCTTACGAGAGATTTGGGGGCTGTTTTTGAGGTGGGAGATAAGGTTTTGGTTAAGGATGGCTACTGCTTTCATGATCCTAAGTTGTGTATTTAGTTGCATTATCTCTTGGCTGTGCAGATTAGGTCTCTTGTATTGTTGGTGGTTTCTTTCAATCATCTTGTATGAGCTATAATAGGGTGTGTTAGAACAGCCTACACAAGGTTGGCAAGAAAAGGAATATCTTTCTTTGTTCTTTCTTTTTCCTTTTTTGCTTCATTTTTATTGTTCTTGAGCCGAGGGTCTTTCGGAAACAATCTTTCTACGTTCATAAGTAGGGGTAAGGTCTGCGTACACACTACCCCAGACCCGACTTGCGGGATTTCACTAGGTTTTTTGCTGTTGTTTCTTTTTCCTTTTTCTTTTGTCTAGAAGAGAATACGTATAGTTAATCTCAATTAGTTTGGGACTGAGGCGTAGTTGTTGTTATCTAATAGTTTTTTCTCAGAAAAATGATATTTTGTGCTTTTGCTTCCCATGGTTCTTTTTTTTTTTTCCCTTTTTCTTTTTGTGGTGATAAATACATGGACAAGTAGTGGAGCTTAGAAGAGTTAGAAGACACGACAATTAAAATTTTCTTGTTTATGCTCTTTTAAAATCCTTTGTAACTTGTTTGAAACTGAAATATAGTTATTGTTATCTTTATCGTTGTTTTAAAAATTTCCTAATATAGGTATTATCAGTGGCGAAGATAGGAATTTTTTCAAGGGTGTTCAAATTTAAAAAAAGTGAAATTTTTTTCCGGCAACGGGTGTTCAATGTGTGTTATATACCTTTAAAACGTAATAGTTTACCTATATACACAATATAATTTTTCAACGAAGGGTGGTCAGTTTGACCACCCTTAGGACCATGTGGCTTCGCCACTGGGTATTATTATGTCAAACTAATCTAAACTTTCACATGTGGGAATTTTTTTCTTCTGCAGAAACATTAGTGAGGAGACAAGACCAGAGAGAAAGAAATTCTGGCGAATAAGATATAAAACTCAAACTTATCATATACAACTTTTATGGACGGATTGTAAAGAAAGAAACCAAGAGGCCGCTAGAAAAATAGCCACAAAATTACAGTAGTACAAATGGTATTCGATGTTCTTATTTTACCTAAAAAAATAATTATATTGACCGGTCATAACAAGTAAGATCAATCACTTAAAATGTGGTATTTAACTTGCTATAATATGTTACCGTACACTGACATAAAAAAGTTCTTTATTCTGTCCTTTTATTTCTTATTAATATTATAAATCCTTGTTCTTAGCCAAAATTAACGAAATAAAATGAAAAAGATACTAATTTCATGTCTTAAATGAAATGAGTGGACTTGAATCGGCAGTATTCTAATAGATAGATAGTATGGTAAAAAGAAAGATTCTTCTATTTCTTTCTACCATACTATTTATTAGTTAGATTGTAGTTATAAAGCTGCCCCCTGAAATAAAATAAAGATAGAGGCTGCCCTCTTGTGACTGTGAATTGAATGAATAAACGGATGAAGTTAAGAAATAATTCAACTAACAGTTCGAACTAAGAAATAGGAGAACGAAAGTCGTATGGGTTCACAAAGGACTCTGTGGCTAAAAAGTAAAAAAGATATATCAAGTAGTTCTGATGATTCAATAATCTTATTACTTCAATCCAAAGTTTAGTTACTTCGACCGACTCATAGTGATCGTTTATCAAAGAATGACTCTGGTTATTAAATGATTGAACAATCGGGAGCAATTTACTTACGATACTTAGTTGACATTCATAAAAAGCATCTAATGAATTATGAGTTCAATCCATCCTGTTTAGCAGAAAGACGAATATTCCTTGCTCCTTTTATTTCTTATTGATATTACTAATACATAAGTTGAAAATTAACATCATATTTATTTATGTATGGTCAAAAACATATAATTTAATTTTCCTGTTCCTTTTTCCCTTACCCAAAAACCAATCTAATAAAACATTTCAGCCTCATATTTACATACTTCAGCAAACACAAAGCACACTCTCATGTCGTCCAATCCAATTCCTCCTCCATCATTCAGACCACCAAGAACCGACCCATTAACCCGAAAAAATCTCACTATACCCGGGTCCAAACCCATTGACCCGAATTCTTCAATGGACCTCCAGAAGCTGAAGGAGAAGGAAGCAAAGGAGAGGAAGGAGGAAACAAACAAAAAGATAGCTTCACAAAAAGCCATATCCATAATTCTTCGTAGAGAAGCTACAAAAGCAGTTATTGAGTATAAGAAAAAGAAAGGGAATTCTAAGAAGCTTTTGCCTCGTACTGTTCTTGAAGCTCTTCACGAACGTATTACTGCTTTGCGTTGGGAATCTGCTCTCAAGGTTCGTGCTTTTTTGTAGTTATTTTGAGTTTTTATTCTGAATTTTGAAATCGAAGTTTGGAATTTTTGTGGGAATTGATAATTATAGTGCAAAATTTTATCTGGACAAAGGAAAGGTACAATTGTAGCTGCATGTTGTAAAGCACTTATGAAACACATTTTGAGTTTTTATGTTTCTTTTTAATTCTTAATTTTGGAACTGAAGTTGGAGTTTTTTCTGGGAATTGATAATTTTAGTGCAATTTTTTGTCTGGACAAAGGAAGGTACAATTATAGCTGCATATTGTACAGCACTTATGAAACACATTTTGAGTTTTTATGCTTCTTTTAATTCTGAATTTTGGAACTATATTTGGAGTTTTTTCCGTGAATTGATAATTACCGCGCAAATTTTTGTCTGGACAAAGGAAGGTACAATTATAGCTGCATATTGTACAGCACGTATGAAACACATTTTGAGTTTTTATGCTTCTTTTAATTCTGAATTTTGTAACTAAAGTTGGAGTTTTTTCTGGGAATTGATAATCATAGTGCCATTTTTGGTCTGGACTGAGGAAGGTACAATCATTACTGCATATTGTACAACTCTGAAGCAAAAAATGAGTTCTTATCCTCTTTTGCTATTCTTAATTTGTAGTAAAGTTGGAGTTTTAATTGATAATCATGGTTCAGTTTTTTGCTTTGACCAAGAAAGGTACAAGCCTAAACTGCATATTGTACAACACATTTGAAGAACATATTATTGGTCCTGGTTGAAAAATCTGGCAATACTTTTGCTTTGAGCATTAATCTCTGTAGTCAATGATACAAATAATATATATCCTAAATATAGTTCAGAAAAAACAAGGCACTTTGTGCATTTTATATTATGATACTGGAACTTTTTTCCTGTAATAGTTGATTCATGTCATATTGCAAGGAAAGTGGTTTCTGCTAAGGAAATGCCATTGCCAACACATAGATTGAAAGAAATATTTTCTGAATTATCGTTAGATAGTTCATAAATATTTGCTTATGTTTTGGCAGTATCATGAAATTCTGGAGACGCCGAAGCACCTGACAATCCATTTTTGTCGTGATTTGTTTTTGGCCGCCAGGTTTTTGAACTCCTCCAGGAGCAGCTGTGGTACAGGCCCAACCCGGGTATTTATATCAAATTAATTGTCATGCTTGGGAAATGTAAGCAACCCGAAAAAGCTCAATCCCTATTTGAGATGATGGTGGAAGAAGGCTGTGTTGTGAATCAAGAAGCTTACACTGCTCTTTTGTCTGCCTATAGCCGCAGCGGTCTTTTTCACAAAGCTTTTTCTATCCTAGAAGAGATGAAGAATACTCCAAACTGCCAACCCGATGTCTACACATATACTATCCTGATAAAGTCCTGCCTTCAGGTTTATGACTTCGATAAAGTGCAAATCCTGCTTTCGGACATGGATTGTATGGGGATCAAGCCCAATACAGTAACATATAACACACTCATCGATTCTTATGGCAAAGCAAAAAGGTTTGGTTACTTCTCGGCGTTATAGTTTTATTTCCAATTTTCCACCTTTAGCTGACAAGAAAGTTTTAATTATATACAACTGGAACTTGAGTTTTCTGCCTACTTGTTAAATAAGCTCCAAGACCTTATCTAATTTTTGACTTCGTGCTATCTTTGCTTACTAGTATATTTTATATTGTTGATATCATTTTCTCGACGTAAGTGGCGTTTTCTCTCTTTTCATTGGGGGACTGTGGCCTAGTTTAGAACACCTTATCTGCTCCCTCTTCTCCTTCTTAGTATTGTTACTGTTTTTCTATTATTATCTTACTTTTCAATTTAATTACTGTTGATGTTTCCTTTGCTTTGGTTATCTTACTGCTACAAATACTTTCTTTTCTTCAGTATTTTCATCATAGCGTCTTTACTCTTGTATTTTTCAAACTTGTTTTGGAAAATGTTTTTCTTAAGCCGAGGATCTATTGGAGACCGCCTCTTTACCTCACACGAGGTAGGGGGTAAGGTCTGCGTACACTCGACCCTCCCTAGCCCTCACTTGTGGGATCACACTGAATATGTTGTTTGTTTTTTGTTTGAGTGTGGGCATTAGTTTGTATTGATAGGGAAATTGATTCTGTTATTCTTTAATTGCCAAAGGTTCAAAGAGATGGAATCCACACTCGTAGAAATGCTGCGGCGCAGAGACTGCAAGCCAGATGTGTGGACCATGAATTCAACATTGAGAGCGTTTGGTGGCAGCGGGCAAATAGAAATGATGGAAAAATGCTACGAGAAGTTTCAGAGTGCTGGAATCGAACCCAGTATTAAGACCTTCAACATACTCTTAGATTCATACGGGAAAACAGAAAACTATGAGAAAATGAGTGCTGTAATGGAGTTTATGCAGAAATGCCATTTTTCATGGACGATAGTTACTTACAATATCGTAATAGATGCATTTGGAAGGGCTGGGGATTTAAAGCAGATGGAATTTCTTTTTAGGATGATGCAGTCTGAGAGGATAAAACCGAACTGTGTTACTCTTTGTTCACTTGTAAGAGCATATGGGAAGGCTGGTAAAGCTGAAAAAGTCGGAGCTGTTTTGCGATTCATTGAGAATTCTGACGTGGCGCTTGACACCGTGTTTTTTAACTGCCTAGTGGATGCGTATGGGATGCTGGGATGCTTTGTGGAGATGAAAGGGGTTCTTGAGATGATGGAAAGAAGTGGATGTAAGCCAGATAGGATAACATACAGAAGTATGATTAAAGCCTATTCAGTAAATGGAATGAGTAGCAAAGCGACGGAGATGCGAAACCTACTTGCCTCAATGGAAAAGGCGCGATAGCTTCATAGTTCAAAGGGCTAGGAATTCCGATGGACAATAGGTGTTTTTACTATCAAATGCCCTTGGTACGATAATTTCTGAGATGCTGTTGTTGTAGCTTCAAATACAGGTGCCAGAGTTCTCAGTCGCCTCAGCGTTGAACTGAATACTGTCAGTGAAGGAAAATGATTGTCACTAACAGCTTAATTCGTCAATGAACACAATCAGGTAAATTGTTAAAGTGCCTTGATATACAACCATGTCTGATGTACCCTCTCTTTTCCCCTTTCAATCCCATAGGATTTTGTAGCCGAGGGTCTACTGGAAACCGCCTCTCTATCTTGACAAGATAGGGGTAAAGCTGCGTACACACTACCCTCCCCACACCCCACTATGTGGGATTATACTGGGTTTGTTGTTGTTGTAATCCCATAGGATTCAGTGCCTAAATTCTTGTTTGTTCCTGCTTAAAATTTGTTCCACACCATCATAGATTGTCCAATATAAGACACTGTAGTATGACTGTTGTTAGATCTGTATGTAAATCGTCTAACTATAATTTTTCCCATTGATCTTTTACCTGGAAAATTGTACTGACAAATAGGGGAGACTGACAAAATACCTTTTCCGATTCCCATGAACTCATTTTGCTTTACAGTTATTTGCCCATCAGCTTTGGTATTTCAATATGCTGAGGTAAATCATGGTTCCACTTCTCTGCTCATTGTTTGTGTTAGTTTTTATGAAAACCTACCGGCGCGTTGGTTTTGGTTTAACAAAGCATTTACCAAAGAGCTTGAATAAACGAGCCCTATTGCTTCCATTTTATCAGTTTCTGGTTGCCATATTAAGTACAAAGGTTGGTTTTATACTATATAACAAACCTGTACTACTTCTTTAACATTTGACCTCTGTGTTTTGATGTCTTTGAAAATGTATTTACTGATCTTGTCAGCTGGAACTGGACTGTGGTTGAGAGGAGCAGTCAATGCAGCTTAGACCACCAACACAGAATCAGTTTTCCAAGGCCATGATTATGCTAACTTGGGCTTCCATCAGTCTCTTGAGGCTCAATTGAAGTAGCAGTCAAACAATTGTCTTTCTCAAATGTAAGAAATATTCACTATGACAAACAACAACAAACCGAGTGAGGGGAAGCTAGTGTGTACGCAGCCAATCTGCCATCTTGTGAAGGTAGAGAAGCTAGACTCCCGACTCAGAAAAAGCATAGTCTTGAAATACTCACTATGACAAAATCATAGGTATATCTTAGAATGATTACATATCTAATTGGAAGGGAAGTTTTGGCGTAACCGGTGTGAGCACGTGATTTTTGCCCTAAGCAAATTATTCCAAAAGTTTCAAATAATTGATTTCTTTATTATTTTACAATTTTTTGTGAATTTTTGTTGAATTTGGCGTTAATTGGTTGCATAATAATTCATGTTAAAAATACAAAATATGCATTTTGCATTAGGAATTTAATTTCACATTTTTAGGTATGGATTTGTTTAGAATAAAAATTAAAGAAAATCACAAAAAATAGTTTCTTTGCGCTTTTAATTGTTAATTATTGCATTTATCTTTTAAGTAGAATTTTAAGTAATTTTAGGATTTGAATAGTTTAATCTCGAATTTTATTAAGTATTGGTTTTAATTTTACATTTTATAGAATCAGAAAAATAATACAAAAATACAAGATGAAAAGAAAAAAAAAGCAAACAAAAGGAAATAAAAGGAAAAGGTGGTCTTGGGTAACAGACCCAAATTGGGCCGTTCTTATTGAAAGTCTGCTGGCCCAATTCGTGTTGTCAACCAATCCGACCCAATTAGTCCCCTACCCGGTCCAGTTATTCACCGCATAAAACGGCCCCGTTTCGTTACCCCTTCATCTGAGCCGTTAAACTTGTTTGATCCAACGACTCCCGTTGAGCATTACGTTGTAATAAGATTGTCTGAAAGATTCATTTAGCCCTAAAATTGTTCCCGTCTTCCTCGTACAGAGCCTGTAAAACCGCCGGAGCCGCCGCCGGCGGTGAACGCCACCTATGCCAACGGCCCTCAAATTCACACCATCGGTTCGTCTCGTTCCCCTCTTCCCATTCTTACCATTGTTTCCCCTCGAATCTTGCCCTATCTCGTTGAATATCCCGTCAAATATTTTCCGGCCATGACACAAGTTATGCCAAATGGCCCCAAATTCACACCACAGAACCGCCCAGGCCTCCTCTACCCAGCCCCCATAACCATATGTCTCGAATATAGCTGGAGTTGCTCGAATCTCGAAAACAAAGTTTCCGGCCAAAACCCTATCTTACCAAATCGCCCCAAATCACTTCAAACTCATACCCTATACTCTCTTCATCTTCCCCAAACCCCAAACCGCTCTTCTTCAGATCCAATTACAAATTCGCAAATATTAAATCTAGGGTTCCTGGGCTTTTGGGAATTTTCAAAGGCGATTGAGTTCTAGTTAATATTATAAGCCTATTCTTGACAGAGTAGACATATAATATTAACTGGAAACCAATTTCGAAGGGTAGTTCTTGTAGAGTCCAAAATCAGTAAGTTTCTCTTCTCAGTTTTATTACTTCTTTTCTTTGTTCTCATGAGTTTCTGGTTTTGTTAGTTGTTAGTCAATTTTGTGTTGTTTTCTGTGATTAGTTTGAGTTTTAGTTTGGTTAATTCTTATTTGTATTTCATCTTACCTTTGCCAGTTTATATGTTCAAATGTTCGTTTAAGGCAACCAACTGATAGTTTTGATTTTCTAATTAGTTTTGATTCAAGTTGATATGCTTGCTTTTCTTCTGATAATAAATTTGATTCTGATTCATTAGGTTAATAGTCTGATTTGGTGTTTTGGATCCATATTTGTTCAAGTAGTTGATCAGTAGCTGTTGATGCATGTCTAAAATTGGAGGTTTGGTTTGACTAAATAAACATGGTTGTTAGTTTACTTGGTTTAATTTCAGTTTGAGTTTCAAGTTCTATTAATTAGTCTTATTTAGTTTAGGCTAGATTAGTTGTTTGGTTATAGATGGCAGGTTTATTGATGGTCAGTAGTTTCAGGAGGTTTGCAAGGGTAGTGTAGGCATAGAAAAGGGCAATTTTGTTAGGAATGGTAAATTCAAAACCAAGATAAGGGTAGTATAGGTTTTGTATGATTAAAAGAACACCCTAGGGACTTCTAGAATAGGACTTTAGTGTAGATTTTAGCAAACTTAGGGTAGTAACTTGAGAAACAAGTCAGAAATTGAAGGTTTAATAGGTGAATTCTGAAATTAAAAGAGGGAAAAAATGTGTGAAAGCTTCCAGAATATTCTACCCCACTCCTTGCCTATAAAAGGCACCCCTAATGCCTTCCTGAACAAGTTTTCAGTCTCTAAAATTCCCCCCAAAGTTCTTCTTTCAATTTCAGATTTAAATTTGAAATTTAAGCCTTCCAAAATCCAAAAACATTAGAAAATCAACAGAAAACCAAAAAAAGAAGACTGTTTCATTCAAATTTTAGTTTAAAAATTCGAGTTTTGTTGTTTGATACACATTTCTTAGCTTAATCTCTTGCAAGAGTAGTTCAGTTGTAGTTTTAGCTGGTTTTCAGAGAATTTTGAGTTCAACCGAGATTTTAGAAACAGTTCTAGGTTGATTAGTTGTTCCTGCCTGGTTTTAAGCATGTTGGATTGTTGAAATCATTCCTGGGTTAAGAAGTGTTGCTGTGAGTTGCTGCTTGCTTTACAACTGCTCAAATTGCTGCTGATCTCACTTTTGCCTCCTTATTTGCAATTACCAGGTACAAGCTCTGAACATGGTGCTGTATATTTGATTTGAGAAGTTGAAAAATGGAAATCCTATTGCTCTTAGCTTGATGTTTATGTTATCCGCATCTATTCAATTTAGCTTGGTTTAATTTCGTTAGTTAAATTTGTAATAACTTTGAACTGTATTGGACTATTTAGATCTCTTTAGTTTGGTTCAATAGGACCATCAACTGCAATTGTGTAGTGTAGTTTTGTAGCATAAAGAGGATGAGACTCACGTAGGTTTACATACAGTGCTGGGATTAAGCCTTAGCAGTAGCGTTTTGTTTTAGTGTATAAATTCAGATCCAAACGCGAAATACAGGTTTAAATCAGCCTAAGGATTGAACGTTCAACAGTTTTGTCTTGACTCTTGTATAATCCAATTCTGATTTCGTATTCAATTGAATCATGAGTAGTCAATTATTTGTCGTGATAAGGTTTTTTTTGAATCATTCAGTTGCTGTAGGCATCAATTTGTTAAGGCTAGACTGTCTCAGTTTCTGAAAATAGTCTCTTGTTCCATAGTTCACAAATTAAATGTGGATATCAAAATACATGAACATATATAATTGTTTTGGGTTCAGTTGTCTTGATGTTAGGTCTAACAAGCTATAAGACCTTCATTGATCATATTCTCCAGTTGGGCCTGCTTGTCTTCTGCACAAGGTCCATGTCTGGACAACATTCATTTACTGAACGTTTAAGGCCTGTTTTAAGGCCTGTTTTCTCTTAAGGGCCTGTTTTAAGGCCCACAAAACTGAACGTTTCCTTGGGGCTATTTTGTTTAAGTTCAACACCTATTTGAATACCTTGGCAATAATACATGGACATAGTAATTAATTGGGGCCTTTTCTTATTAGTAGAGACAATACTTAATAGAAAAATCATAGTTCTTCTAGGTCGACTTTAAAATAAATGAGATGAGCCTCGCTAAGCAAATATATAAATCGCGGGGCCCTCAATAGATGCTATATAAAATGCTTAGAATTCGGGCGGACCATTTAGCGAATTTCACGGTCTTCCCCAAATATAATAAACTCGTAGTTGCTTTAGGCGCGTATTTTAATAATATTACCTTCCTTAAAGTGGGTGCACATTTATGTGACCCAAATCCAAATCTCAACGAAGTCGAAATGTGTTAACAATCACGGGTGCACTGGTGCGACATGGTTCGAGATGCATTTTCACGACGTTGCAATTCTTATTAAAAATAAAAAAATAATAAAAGCGGTTTACTAATAAAAGCACATGAGTTTGGACATGTTTTGAAATCAGATAAAATCAAATACAACAGTTGAGCGACCGTGCTAGAACTACGGAACCCGGGAATGCCTAACACTTTCTCCCGGGTTAACAGAATTCCTTACTCAGATTTCTGGTTCGCGGACTGTTAACAGAGTCATAATTTTCTCGGATCGGGATTCAACCGGTGACTTGGGACACCATTAATCTCCCAAGTGGCGACTCTGAATATTAATAATAAATCCCATTCCGATTGTCCTTTAATTGGAAAAACTCCTTTACACCCTCACAGGTGTAGGAAAAAGGAGGTGTGACACATGGGTTTCCGGGTTTTGGGAACATGTATTAGTTTTGAGAGCGGCACTCTTAAACGTTGTTTATTTACTCTATCTCTGTTTTAACTTATTTTTCTTCCGCAAATTTGGTTTATTTTACGTATTTTAGGCTTACCTAGTCATAGAGACTAGGTGCCGTCACGATGGTTCACGGAGGGCGAACCGGGGTCGTGACAAGTTGGTATCAAAGCTCTAGGTTCATAGGAGTCATGAATCACAAGTCGGTTTATTAGAGTCTCGCTGATCAGTACGGAGACGTCTGTACTTATCTACGAGAGGCTATGTAACTGTTAGGAAAATTCCACTTGTTGATTTCCTCATCGTGCGACTTGATTCCTTGAGGCTTATGCCCTTGTTTCCTTCCTACTCAATCTTACGCGACGCGAACCGCTTGTTATAAATCGAGAATTGAAGAATTGTAATGGTAATACAGATGTGGTGCGGGATGTTTCTCCCGGTACAGTTGGGTGAGCTATTGTCGTCGCCATGCGGAAGGATTTTTCTATCGTTTTGGCTCGATAGTTGTGCTTCTAAGAGCTGGGAGGCTATGCACAGGTTGCTATGATGCTCGCGATTGGTTATCGCACAGTATTGACTTGATGGTAGGAGACTTGCCTATGTATTGGGGCGGTGAATGAGTTGAAAGGAAATCTACTTAGTGCACGATTCAGAGATATGATATTTCACTTCCGGCGGATGAAAAGCAATTGGCCTATGAATGTCCAGATTTGGGGTGATGGAGTAACGAGACTTGGTAATTTCGAGCGTGGTGGAATTTTTATCTACGATGTAGTGTCGTTGTCCTCGATTATATGTGTTAAGTTTGCCGGTGTTATGGTCTTCTGCGATTCGCCCTTGGGGTAGGATATTGTGAAATAATATTGGAGAAACGACTGTTGGATATCGCGGGGTGCGGTGGTTCAGGATTGAATCGGTGTTTCTATTATCGACGACTCGAGAAAGATGATCTCCGAAAAGGTTTAAAGTTAGTAGCGATTTGTGGGTTCAAGTGCTACGAAGATAGATTTTATTAAGGCAACAACTGAGCAGCAAAGGATGAGGAAGGACATGTGGGGATTGTCAGGTGGTGGTTAAAATTTTTAGAAGGCCAGGTATAAGAAGTAAAGGTCGAGTGGTCGATTAGAGGGGTGAGTTCCGCCAAAGTGGAAGAGTGGCAGAGTTGCATATGGGCTTTGTGTTAGGATGACTACGCACCTTAAGGAGAGTTTGGAACGACTTGGGAATTTTAGTGATTGATGATTGGGGTCTACGGATCTAATTTGAAGTATGGGCTATTATGCGGCAGGAGATTTGATATAACGGAAAGGAGCTACTTGAAATGAAGAAGGATACAACGTAACTTTGAATTGGAAGGATGTTGCCGCACATTTAATTGATGTCCACGAGGGGAGAATGGACTTGTGCAGCTAGAGAGTGAGCTCGGACTCAGGATGGGATATTGATGTCGTAGTGATTGTACCCCGTGCAGCAGCGTTGGAAGATGTCGGCACGTAAATTCCACAGGCGGGTTATCTCCAGTGAGCAGATCAGCGGTCGCATGGTTGGCAAAGCTTCTACGAAGAATTCTATTGGTTGTACAGCAAAGAGACCGGTCGTGCGAATGTGGTTGATGATTCAGAGTATAAAAAGGGGTTTTACAGAAAGATTCCGAGAATTATGGCGGTTAATTACGCAAGGTTATGTCAATAAGAGATAAAGAATCCTGATGAATTTCAGAGTTGTGTAATAGTGGCTTCAAGCTAAGTGGTAATTTGAGCAAAGGGATTGTTAAAGGTATACTATGGTTGGCCTTATTGGCTCATGTTCAGACTTGGGGAAGGATTCAGGATTTATGCCTTATATAGATGCGGGTTTCAAGGGAAGTGATTCTGCCGAGTGCTTCCCCGAGAGGGTATTCATATGCTAGAAGATTCATGGAGTTGATTATATTCGGGGCCAAGTCAGAGCGGGTGGCTCTCAACAACGGTCCTAGTGGATTCAAAGGGGCAAAGCGTGGTGGCTAATGATTGCGAGCCTATAGGTACGGTTAAGAATCAAGCTTTGTAGCAGCTTATGAGAAGAGGCCCGGAATGTTCTATGATGTTTTGACTTGCAGTGTAGCATTTGGGAGGTATGAAATGGTTCGTGGGATTTGAGACAGCATGGTCTCGTGATTCAAGGTCACTCGGGATGAGTGCGGATGGAGTGTGTTTTGTGTTGAATGGAGTTATTATTATTTCTAAGGCAATCAAGAATTAATTTGGAAGTAGATATATTGGTTAGCCATAGTTGAATTGGCATATTGGTGGTAGTGATCAGTTCCTTCAACGTGATCAAGTTATGCAAGTGATTTGTGACGGAACGTGTGAGGCTTGTCGACCACCGTAATTGATGTTATTCAGAAGTATTCCACTGTTATGGCTTGTCATGTGTAGGCAGATCCCGGAAGGGCTATGGTGGCTTAGACCACTACTTAGAGATTTGCATATTCTACGGTTATGAGAATTCACCTGTGTGTTGCTATGGTTCTCCTGAAGTGAGTTAAGTGAAAAGTTTTATATGATGAAGTGTTAATCTATTAGTGGTTACAGAGTTATGATGAAAATCGCGTTCTATCGTATATTGGCATATTGGTTGCAGTGAGTGGTATGGAATTTGAAGTGAGGATCAAGGTTGCAGTTCGGTGTTGACAAGGATGTCACGAGCTCGGATGAGCAGTAAAGGAGTTTCGATGTATAAAGTAAGTGGGTATCGTCTTCAGCATCACCTGAGATCGGTGTTTTGTGAAAAAGGCCTTGCATCCTGGTTATGGATTCTTGAACGCTTTCTCAGCGTTAGTACGGCTGGTGGTATGGATGCGCATACTTGTTGTCTGTTACGGAAGGTCGTGGGAGCATGCCCCATAGGAAGATTGTATAAGTGCGGCATGTAGTCACTTGATTGATTGAAGATTTAAACCAAGTATGAAGACGATGGTGATATCATTAATTTGAGAATTTATGCTTGGAGGGCACTCGACTATTGGGTTGTGGACCGTGGAGGATTGCCCCGGTTATGATGGTAGTTCTCGTGTGTTATGAGAAAAAGGGAGTTATTATGGACCTTCGAAAGGTTATTAGCCTAGTTCAGTGTGATCAGAATCAGCTTGAGGTCTGTAGATGGATCTAAATGTGAATATAGGCTCTATATCAGGCCAGATGTGTTCATTTCAGCAATGCGCTCCTTTGGGCAAGTAGTCGGGGTATTATTTCGTCGTCAGCTATTTCATGTAATGATATATTGTGTCGTATGAGTTGTGAGACGGCTAGGTGAATTTCTTATGTGTTGAGGTTCCGCGTAGAGATGATGTTATATGAGCAGGATGGCTCTCGAGATTCAGATCGTATATCGCACCTCAGTTGTCCTTGAGTTTTGTAGCCTATGGCACTATATGTCTCCCCAGGGATGGTATTATGCACTTAGCGTGCTTGTGACCGATATTCGGTATTTTGTTGTAATGAGCAATTTAGCTCGATGTATATCTCCTTATGAGAATTCTATGTGTGGATCGGGTAGCACGCCGCCTTGGGTATGTTATTTGGATCGGGTTGCACGCTGCAACAGTGTGATGTTGAGTACAGTTTTCTATATGCTATTTTTGTATGCCTTGCTTCCTATTTTCTAAGGAAAGTCCATATTAGTGCGTGAGTTGAGTAGTTCCTTCTAGAGTTCGTTTTCCATTGGTCACGTTCGAGTTCATA